ATTATTTAATTATTTTATAACTTAATCTTTTTAATTTATTTTAATATCTTGTTTTGATAAAAAAAAAATTAGTAAAAAATATGGAAAGATTATGAGGTAGTACAGCTTGTGGTATGCTAAACATTTATTGGTAATTAATGTTATCAATTGAGCAAATAAATTACATTCGGGCAAAACCATGTTTAATTTATTCAAATTAATTGTTTAGCTTTAAAATAATCGGCTTTTATTTATTAATTTCCTATATTTGTATTTTCATTTAATTGAAAAATACAACTAGCATGATTTATTCCCATTAATTTATTGGAAGTATAAGTTTTCATATACCAAGTTATTTCAATAGGATTCGATTTGAGCAAATATGTTATTAAAAAAAGGTTCCATTAGATTTTATTACCTATACAGATGAAAACTGTTACTGATTTGTACTTGGAAACTAAAATAATAATAATAATAATAATAATAATAATAATAATAAACATTGATATAATCAACGAAAAATTGAAAAAAAAAAAAAAGGTAAATAACGTCGTGATGAATTCATAAGAAAAAGAGAAATCGATGCTTACCATTTGATTCCTCTGTTTATATGCATTGTTTTCGAGTATTATAAAAAAAAAGTAAAAAAAATAAAAAATAAAATTGGAATAGGTAAATCTATAATTTACGACGTTTCGGTTTCTTAACGAGTCAATCCAAAAAGTTAAGCTCGCCAAAACAAGGATAATGCCCCGACAAGTTAGTAATCGAAAAATCGCAATGATAACAGGTCGAATCCTCTATGTCCAGCAACATAAATCTTGCCATTGATTTGTTTTGGTTACAAATACGGTATATATAAATAAGTTGATTACTTAAGACGGAGCTCTAATTTTTAGAATGAAATTAGGATAAATGAAAATTAAATAGAGAAAAAAAATCCATGGAAATAATATATAACTTTGGAAGCACAAAACATGTGTTTCCTATGAAATAAGCTTTCAATTGAAGAGTGTAATTGCAAGAACTTCATATTTTGGTACTAAAACCTAAAGTTTTTGGAACTTTGAGGATGCCATATATCTGCCCTTCGTGCTAAAGCATATTTCTACGCCATTTACATCTCTAACAAGGACCTCTATTATTGCGGATATAATTTCACAGAATTGCTAAAAATAAACCGTAATAATTGTATTATAAGTGCATTAATTTTTATTTTTTTCAATCGAAATTCTTTTTTTATGTATAATAATTTTTTTAAAATTGTCAATTAAATATTTTCGTAAATTTTTTCGTTAACTCATCACATGTCTTTTATGCTCGGAGTACCAAATAATAATTTTGTCCTTTTATTTCAATATATTACATGAATTTTATTTTATTTTTTATTTGAGTGTATTAATTTTTTAAAACTGTAAATAAATTATTTTGTTAAGTTATTAGTTAACTAATGATATGTTCGAATATTAAATTATATATATTTTTTTTATAGTAAAAGTATTTGATTGATAATTTAATAAAAAATAATATATTCAAATATAAAAAAGTTAAAATTCATGAACTCAGTTGATAAAAAGATAAAATTATAATTTAATATTTTAAAAATAATAAGCATGGTTAATAGAAAAATTAACATAAATACTTGATTAATAATTTAAAAAATTAATGTATTAAAAAATTTAAAATTTACATATTCCATTGAAAAAAACTTTAAGAATTGATATATTCATCGTGCAATCATTCCAAAACAAACGCACTTGATCTTTCGGTGAAACTTCGAGGGACTGGTACATAGCTCCATGCCTCCATCCATGATCTTGTCTCGAGAATTTCCATCCTTGATACTCTTTCCGTAAAGTTGCTTTCAGAGTTCAAATGGAATAAATATACCTACTAGCTTTTCCATGTATTTTGTCTGTTAGTTGAAACTTCCTATTTTTTTTTTTTAAAAAAAAACAGGCTTGAGTGTAATAACCATTCATTTATTATCTTCGCGATCCTTTTGGACCATTAATTTGATCCATTTTATCGGTATCAAACCTTCAATCTAGCTAAGGGTTAATTCCCATGTGATATTTTTCTCAAAAACAGAAAACGAAAAAAAAAAAGAAAAAGAAAAAAAAACATTGCATATCTGAATTTTTTTTTTAAATGGTATTCATGTGACTAAACATAATGAATCTTCCCAGAAAGAGATTGTAAGACGAGGGACAAGCAGAGGGGGGACATTGATATGAAATGTCTTGCCCCATTTTACCTGAGTCCAGACACAGGCGCTGTCAAAGAAACTGGAACTGACGATAGTTTGGCATTCATTAAAAAAGAAGTTAAATTCCTCTTCTAGACCGAAGTCGGACTTTCTTTTCTAAAACAATAAACAAGGATAGCCCAGGGGTTTAACAAGTTTAGTTTATTTAATGATTTTTATCTATTATTTTTCCCTCTAAAAAAATCAATTTTTAGTATTTTGAACACAAAAAAACTTCAATCTATTTTTTTTTAAGAAAATCAGAATTTTTCAAAATTAAAAACTATGTGTTTATTTTTTGAATATTAATAAGAAAATTAAAATAACTTTGAAATAATCTTAAATTTTAAAAAAAAACACCACATAAATCTTACTGGATTATTTTTATTATAAAATTATTTATGTGATTGTTATTTTTTAAGATAAATTGCAGAAAACTGAAGAATATGTTAAATCTAAAAAATTTAAAAGTCCAAAAATCTTTGAAATTAATTAAAAAGAAATTCAAAAATTCAACTTAAAATTTAAGAGTAGTTAGACTCTTAGACCACAAAGGCATGGTGGGGTAAAACTTGAAAGATTCTCATTTAGAATTAAATGCAAGTCACCATCTATTTAGTATATGCAACAAAAAAATGAAATCAAGTGCAAGAAGAGAAGACAAATCAAATTCTTGTAATCTAAACCTCCTTCTAGTGTTTGTGAAAGGTTAACGATGACGACCACGACAACAACAAAAAAGAAAAAAGGAAAAGAAAAGAAAAGAAAAAATCTTGTATTTTTCTAAGGTCTACATATCCCTATCACAACAGTGTTCGTTGAGATTAGATTTGAATCATTAGATTTACCACATACATCAAGATCACTGCATTTCAACTACAAATAGGATGGGAACTTTCAACCCAAAGTATGCAAATTAACCAACATCTAAATCCAATTGAATATCAAGTTTTAAGTTATCTTAAAAAAAAACTATTCCACATCATACAATTAAAAATAAACTATTCATCATAAAATTTAAGTTTTTCTTTCAATGAACCCATACTTAATTATAAAATTATATAAGTTAATCATCTTCATTGTCTCTTACCCTTCTGACTCTTGGGACTTCCATTGCACTTTTTAACTCCTGGGACCACAATGGAGCCAGGCAGGCCCTAGGGATACACTCCTTCCCTCACCGTCCACATTTAAAACTCAAATCAGAGGAGGAAGATAAACCTCTCTTCGATGATTTGTCTTTGATTAGACTGGAAGAGTGATGTTTGGGTCGGTGAAAGCTGACGAGTATAGTACATAGGCGAGTAAATTATAAAAATTTGTTACCTTCGTTTTTAAAAACGATTAATTAACTATTTCGTTTTAAAAACTATTTATTTATTTATTATTTTTTTAATTATTTCGTTTTTTATTTAAAAAATAAGAAAAAGAAAGAAGTTAGCAAATATAAAGGAAAGGACGATGAAAAAAATGTTTTTTAAAATAAAATAATATTAAATTAAGTTTGGTATGTCAATAAACTAAATATTTAGTTTTGAAAACTAAAAAGCAATTAATTAATTTTTTTTAAAATTAAAGAGATTAATTTATAGTTTTACTCAACACAAGAGTATGACCAGAAAAAAGAGAGGTGGTAATGGGGGCCAACCGGCTAAGCCTTGTTGTTTTAGAAATTAAAAGATTCTGCTTGGACTGATCAATTATCATTAGGGATAAGCCTGCATCAAAACTTATGAAGAACCCTTTATAGGCCTTCGGGTGGCCCAAATCAGCTGCCACTTCATTTAATTAGAAATCTCAAAATTTATCATGCGAGTAGCCACTGCTTTAGCCACGAGATAGATATAAGTATGATAAGAGATTTTTTCAAATTGATATAATATGAACATAATGTTTTTTTCTTTATCAAAAGTGCATGTAGAATAATTTATTTACTTTCGCATTTTCTTTACCAAAAAAAATCGAGATTTAATTACTTTTCCTTTCATTTCGAATAGATCCTAAAGATTTGCACTTTTTATATCAACCTAAATCTCGAGATTTAAATGAAAAAAGTCGAAAATTAAACCAATTTTTTTTATCGACAAAATGTAAAGGAAGAGATCAAATTTCTTTGCTCACCGGTTGGAGTTTGAAATGGAAATGGTATTAGCATTACTTCACATTTCGCTATTGTTTTAAACACAAGAGAAAAACGAGAGACGACGACAAAGAATTAATAGCACTCAACTACTACTACTTTCATTACTAGTAGAAATTTTGGAAATTTACACTTCAGTTTCAAACATCTCAAACTTAAAAACCAAGGACATAATTCAGCGGAAGCCGAGTACAATCACCTTCCAGGATTAAAAAAAGCCACCCAAATCCTGTCAAGGCTGTTGTAAACATAAAAATGCACTATTCAAAATACTAGCGGCGGGTGGTAAAAGTCCCACCTCTGCCATGATCTTCCGCCTTTTTCAGGACCGAAGAAAAAATGGAAAGACCTCAAGTGTAATAAAGAGCCCCTTGAATACGACACCCTAGCTAGAGTGACTCAATTAGCTCAAAATGAGGTAGAGTGCCATTTAAAATAAACACCTCTCATTTTGACCTAAGAGGCATAAGACTGACCTCCAATTGAGATCTAAGTATATATTAGTACCACTAAAAACATACTAATACTACTTTTGGTACCAAGTACTGAAAGTAAATATAGACCTAACATGCTACGACTTAAGAATGGTAAAAGGACAGACAGCAGCTGGCGGGGGGCGAATATATAAGGTCCCTAACGGAACTGGGCACCGGAGAAAGTCTGCCCAAAGGACCACCTAGAAGGAGCAACATTGTAGGAGACCACAGTACGGCCATCACTGGTGGTGACCTTAAATGAAAGGCTTTGGCCATTAAGATTATTGTTGCTCTGCCAATTCTGCCCCCAGTTCCTTGACATTGGTTGCCAACCAGTCCTTGACCCCTTGATGGACACAGCATGTACATCACCAGCACCACCAACGTTGGTGATCAGGACGAGATTGAAGTAAGAGTGACCATTGACGGTGAACCTTATGCCTCCTCTCCTCCTGCAGGGTACCCTACAAAAATCCACCACGAAAACGGTTAATAAAGTTACCGAAGCCAGAAAAGGAAAATCTATCTAAGGCCAGGGCAAAAGGACAATTAATTTTGTCCGAGAAAGGGAAAAAAAATTGCATGGAAGGGTAAACTTCTAAGAGGAAATTGACTTTCTTATTTTTACAGTTTGTGGCAAAATAATAATAATTATAATAAGATAAAAAGAGGTTTTTTGGGGGGGCGGGGGGGGGGGGGGCGGCGGGGGCATATAAAGAACTCCACCGGCCTTATGTTTAGTTCGAAAAGGGTCGTGGGGACACAAGCCCTTTAACATCTTTTGTTAAAAAGTATTAATCTTTCAACGTTTACTAGAAAAGAAATTAAACAAAAAAGCCAAGTTTTGAGAGGGAAAGGTTGACCGCAGTTAAATTAGACTTGAGAAAGTATGAGAACTGCGAAGTAAAAAATAAAGCACGTGAAAGACTGGTTAAAGACCCAAATAACCCTCACTAGGAGCTTAATTAAGAGAAAATTGAGGTCCATATCATTAGATACCATATCTTAGCCAAAATTTTCCTCCACAAGGTCTAATTTTGAAGCTCGAGAAACATACCTTCTGTAAGCCACAGGTACAATTCCAGCTTTGTATTGGGCAATGCGTTGGAAGACAGGCTGAGAGAGATCAAAGTGCTGTTGAGGAGGGTTACACCAGCCCCCTGCATTGTTAGGGAGGGCATTGTTTGGTGGGCAGAAGTTGGTGGCTGTGACCACAATGGAGCCAGGCAGGCACCATTTGCCGTCATTTTCACACCTAATCTCGTAGCAAGAACCACAGCTTAGCCCGCTGTTGAACAGAGCTGTACTCAAAGCTGCAGTGTTTGTACCATACCCCTGGCTGTACAGGTTCCCATAACCGCAAGCCCCACCTGAAATTACATATTTATACAAAAAACCAGCAAAGAAAAATTAGTCAAATGGGTGCGTCTAAAAGGGTTTAATTTCTGAAAAAGATTTTTCTTCTCTGCAAAGTGGCCATACCCATTGTGCCAGAAGCATCGCCACCTCCGTAGAAGGTTGCATGAGCATTGATCCAACCTCCACCGCCATAACCATTGACAGACGAAACCATTGCAAGGAAACCCACCAAGAAAATTCCAGCTAGAGCCATTTTCCTGCGCAAAGGATTGAACCATTTTAGTACTTTTAGAAAACCCGCCAAGCTCGCATTTTTTGTTTGGTTCATTAAAAAGAAAAAAACATTAAGCAAATGTGAGAGAAGAGAGACAGAATTATTACATGAAGATTAAACCTTGAGAAGAGAGAAAGGGAGACAGACAGTATACAGTAAATATGAGGCAGTTGAGTGGAGAAAGTTGGGAGGGGATGGGGGGAATTTATAGAGGTTTAGATGGGGTGCTTAGGGGGACTATTTTGCCACCACCGTCACACACAACCTTGAAGCAGCTGCGGGCCCATAAATCGCCCAGGCATGAAAAGCACTAGCTTTTTGTAATAGTGAAACAACAACAGCACATGTGACCTTCGAAAAAAAATACAAAAAAGAGAAAAAAAAAAAAAAAAAACTGTTTTGTGGCTCAAAACCGTGTGGTTTTGTTGCTTTCCTAGTTGGAAATTCCCTAAAATCCAAGTGGGGTATAGGCGGTTTTCGATTTGATGGGTAATAAACTTCCACAGCCACATGCAAGCAACTCCTTTTGCCGCAAATACCCTTTATTGCCATGCATTCAAAATCCATCCCGGATAATATTTAATCTTAATTAACGGATAAATTGGATAGAAAATATTACTAATCTTGAAAAATGTCACTACTATTAACCATTCCAATCAAATTTTTACTTCAAGGATTAGATTGTCTTTTATGTTAATAATTTTTTTCGCTTAATTTAGGTTGTTAGCTTTAACTGCCCTCAGTTTAATTAAATTACAAACTTCTATTTTGATCCTTTATTTTTAAGCTTTGGGATGTGGTCTCAATCTTTAGCACATGCGCACATAGGAATTTTCTACAACGGTGCTGCTCATAGCCTCATACACAGCAGTTTATCAGGACTTTAACAGGTGAGTCCATTTAATGCTAAATCTATTTTGGTGAACGAATTAAATTCCTGTTTTGACTAACTTATAAGAGAATCTTTTTTCTTTATTTTAGAAAAATCAATCCCTTCTTTAACAAATTCATTAATTAATTCACAGTTGTGAAAAGCAAGCTAGCCTCTACTTTTAGTGAGGTGTGGGTCCCCAGCGTTAAGGATGGTTCAAATACAAATGAACAAACACACTCTGGTTAGGTAAGAACGAGGAGAACTCCATCAAATATGAAACAGAGAAAAAGTATTTTAAAGCCTGGTAGCAGCACGTGTGTGATGAATAATAACTTTCTGATTTGCCAAATAATTTTTTTTATCTTTTTCAAGAATGGGCTTATAATTGAAAATGTCCCGTGCATGATCCATAAAATAATAGAACTGCCCCCCGTATAATTTAAGGAGTTTCTTAATTTTTTTTTATCACTTGGAGTTCCATATCTAGTGGAACATATAACACATAATTTAGCAATGCACCCACTTTTGAAGCAAAAAAGCAAAGCTCCAGCCCTTGAGGGTTAATTTCCAGCAATAATTTCCCATCAATGAGATATCATTAAATGAGTAATTAGAAATTTTGGTGGCAAAGCTCACATGCCGATAGTACAAAAACCCCGCAACAGCTGTGTGTTTAATTTGATGCCACTTAGCTGGATTAATTGTTTGTTTAGTGTCTTATTATGTGTCAGTTAATCAAGATAAGAAGAAGATTTGCATGGACAACTTCTGATACTGATTGGCGAAATCAGAGGAGCGCGATTCTCGGCATTAGCATATCTAACTAATTCTAATCGGCTTCGTTAATTAAAATGTAAACAACAAGTATAATATTTTATTAGCTACATTGACCTTTGACAATAAGTAGTTTTGTAAAGTAACAACTTCGATGGATGTTGTAAACAGCAGTGGGAGTTTTTGGAAGTTTCTTTGACTACGTATAAGTTCATCTGGGGTAAAATTGAGTGGTAAAAAGAGCGAAATCCAGGTTGATATTTCAAACCATGATGGACAGGGGAAAAGAGAGAGCCTTGGTTACCCCTATTAGCATGTATTTCTTGAGTAAAGTTAATAGAGCACCCTGAATATATCCAACCCACTCCAGTGGGGAAGGGAATAGGCATGGGCTGACTAGCCCAGATTTCAAGTGAAGCTCGTGCCACGCCAACTCCAAATGGCACCACTCCCAAACCATGCACATATCAAGAAAAGAGAAAATTCAATCATGGGACTCCTCTCTTGTCTAGGCTGCTATGTTTGAGTAGCGGTCAAATTAAGAAAAAGGGCAACACTAAATAAAATACCTTTCAATTGAAAAAACAACCTGTGATCTTGAACCATAGTACAGTATATATATATGTATGTATGTATGTATTTGGTTGGAGCTCTACAAGGCAAAAGTAGATTTGTCGTGACAAACAATTTTGAAGAAGAAGAGGGACTTTCTCAATAGACGTGTCAGTTTGGGTATTGAAAGCGATTTAAGGATTTGCTTTAACGGTGGTAGTGTTCGCATAGCAGCTGCACATGCAATCTTTTTGGCTCTTTTCTCTATGTTCAAAAACCCGATTTGGCTTCCGTTAGCAAATTTTATCTTTTCTGAATTTTGATTTTCTTTCTTCCTTTCTTCTCTTGGATGAAAGATTCTTTTGGGTTTTGGGATGCAATGACAGTAAAACACAGAAGAAAGGGACACGACGAAAAGAAACAACGAATTTCGAAGTCCAGACAAAGGACGAAATTAATAGTGCGTAATGTTTAGGATGGGTTTTTCCTTTTTTCTTTTCAAAGGACAGGTCAAATTTTGTTTTCGCTTGAAGAAAGAAAGGGAAGCGGTGCAATTCTTCGGTGTTTTTTTTGCTGGGTTAGTTTATGTAACCTATTTATTTAGAGCATCGATCGCTTTACATCAGGGTTTCCGCTTCTTATATGTACTTATTGGGTTATTGACCATTTAATAGAGATTGTTAGAAATAAAAATATTTAAACCTTTTCGAAATAACGCGAAGTTAATATTTATAATAAAATAAAAATGACATTTGATCATAAAAATCAAGTCACGCTATCATGGTCAAAGAGTTATATTTGAGTTAGATAAATTATGTTTTTTGAATTAAACCATTTCAATTTGCTATCAAATGTTTTTAAAAAATAACAATCAGATATTTTTTCAACTTTAACGGCCAATAACCAACTTGTCGTTAGAACATGTCCAAATTCCTTTTCACCCATTTTGCTTTTATGTTTTGTCTTCGGCTAACCAGATTTGATCTGGACCGCTTATCTTCTGGAAAACATTACCACCGCTATCCCATGCTGATTTCACATTAGATTTTTTTGGCTTTAATGTTTCATCACACCTTTCTCTGTTGCTAAGGATTCTAACGTTCTATCGTCAAGATTTTAATGCCCCACAGCAACTAGATGTCAAGTTGGAGAAAACCATTGCTATTGTTGACTCACAACACACTCCCTCTCTGGCTTTTGTTGTTTTGTATGATGTGGTGTAAGACTAATTATTTGGTAAACAACTTTAAACTTAATTTCCATATTGGTGTCTCCCTCTTTTTCTTGCCTTTTGTTATCTTCAAAGTAAAATTGTCAAATCACTAAATTGTTATTCCTCAAAGTTTATGTGCCTAGAGCCTAGAGGACGTCAAGAACATGAACTCACGCCCTTAATTTGAAAACAAAGTAACAATACAATGAGCTTAGTATGATAACTCCGGTTCAACTTTTAGATAATGCTTTTCTTTTCTTTTGCTTTTTTTTCTTTTTCCTTTTGAAGGAGATAATTAACTGAATGAGATCTTCGAAACTTGCAGGAATTAAAAAACTGTCCTACCTTCATTGATTTGTTGGAAAATTATAGGGCTTTTGTTGATGTTATAACTTGTAAGTGCTCCTCTTGTGCTTAATCATATCTCAAGTATTGTGTGATTTCTAAACCCAACATCAAAATCTTCATAGTTGTCCCATTCTCCTTTCTCCGTCCCTCCCCATGTGCTATGATGTTAAAGAAAAAAGGGGCCATCGTATAGTTAATCATTCTTGTTACGACTCTTAACCCATGAAAATAAAATCCTGCCAATTAAATTGCACCAAGTTGCCTACACTGTGTGAGATTCTCTTAAAAAAATTAGAAACCGAGAAAATCGAAACTGGGGCTTTTCTGCGTTGTCCTGTCAGTGTTGAATCACTGGCTTCACGCGATGGTGATATGGTTTTCGGGTTGATGGTTGCTGATTTTCTTTATTTTTCTTTTTATTGAATTCTTTTATTTTTTTGTCTTAAATTTATTTCTTTACGTTTGTTTTTTCTGCCAACGTTTTTTTTTATTGAATTTAAATAAATAAATCTTAGAAAAAAAAACTGAAAAAAATACATCATTCTCTTTTAAGACTGAAAATAAGAAGAACTAAACAAAAAAGTTAGAAATATCTATTTATTCATAATATCATTTATAGATTTAAATTTATCTCTATAATAATAAAGAAATTTAAAATATAAAATAAAATATTTATAATATTTTTTTAAAATATAAACATAGTTTTAGTTAATTTTTAAGTTTTTAAATGATATTTATAATTTTATGATACCTCAAAAATTTGTATTATAATTTACTTATTTTGATTTACAAATTTTTTAATTTGAAGAATATAAATTTATTTTGTAAATTTTAGTTAAATTAAGAAATTCGTTAGTGTTGGATCCAATACTAATAATTTTAAAAAAATACTATGAATATTTTATTTTATACTTAAATTTTGAATTAAAAAATATTTTTAGCTTTAATTTTTTAAAAAAATTTAAGAGAGAATGATTAATTATATCTTCATCTTTTTTTCTAATTTTTTTAATATTAATTTATTTAAATTTAATAAAAAATAAAATAAATGGATGGTATTAAAACAGAAAAAAAAAAAACAAATTCGTATTTTTAGTTTAAAAGTTAAGAAAATACGAGATCACGACAGAAATGAAAAATAAAAAGATGAATGTAAGATGATAAAAAATATAGAAACATGATAAAGACAAAAAAATAAAGAATAACCCAACTTATACAGCTATTAATCTTTGATAATACTAAATTTTTGGTGCTTAATTTTTATAATTTTTTTATTTAATTATCTAAATTTTA